CAAACCTTGACGGGCCAGCAGGATGAACTCAGCCCAGCAGGCACCCCAGGAGCGGGGCACGTCGGAGCTCTCCAAGCCGTGCCACTGCGGCCATCTCCCGTTGGGTGCTGCAGCCCTCCACCTTCCCCCTCTCTTCACTGCAGGTCCTGCCTGGTTCAGATTCTTTTGTCCTCATTTTAAATAGGGCATTCACAGAGGTTCTGACTGGCTCGGCCGTGGCCAGAGGCAGGTCCACCCTGGCCAGAGACCGATCCAGCCGGTTTTGGAGCTGGGAAAGCTTCTCGCAGCTCCTTACAGGGGCTGTCTCTGCAGTCCCGCCACTGCTACTGAAACCTCACCACATAAACCCGGCACAATTGTCCTTTAAAAAAACCCAGCATATTCAAATCTCTCTGAGCTTTTACCCCAAGAAATTCTCCGAAGTCTATGATTGAGGATGCTACGAAAATTGTGCACAACTCTTCCTTTGAGAAAAAAGGCTTCTAATTAATTTGTGGAATGTTAAAAGATACTAGAGAGGCACTGATCAAATGTTTAAAAAGAATAATTGTAATTGCAATAGCTGATTTACAGCTCAGAGGCAACATATTCAGAGCACAGGAAAGAGTCCTCTGTACCGACTCTCTGAATAGTGTGAGTTGTGGAGTGCAGGCCAAAGCGTGCTCTTTTGAAACGTTTCTTCTCACGTCTTCAGCCAGTTTGAAGGGTTGCCTCATTCCTGGTCATGGAACTTGCTCGCAGGTTTGCAATCCCGTCATCAGGATATCTGTGATGTACTCACTTTGAAGCTGCTGTATGGTATCTTCCCCTTTGCTGTCTACATTCTGCCTAGCATGAACTCCAAAGTTTTGCTGCTGAGGATGCTTGTAGAGGAACACTGGATCAGCCAGATGCAATGTTGCTATTGTATTGCTTCCTGGAGCGATCTGCTTGTCAGATTGATCTCTTAAAGAATGGTATGGGAGATGAAGTGTGCTTACCCTAATTCAAAGTCAGATGACCCCTGAAGTTACCTTGGCCTGATGGAGCACCCTAAATAGGACAACAAGGGGTAACAAGTCCATTGAAGCTCTTTAGCTTCCATTTTACGCAGTAGTGGAGGGACGTGCTCGTTTGGTGTTTCATCAAGTTCCTTGACAAAAGAAGAAGGGTATCGGAAGAAAGTTCCACATTACTTTGTACAGAAATACGCCACTTATTTGCATGTCTTTGTATCTATTATTTACTTTGCCGTGGTGATTGATAGTCCTGCTCAGATGTATGTATGAGATGCCAAGGAACCACCGACAGAATGACATTGGTAACAACACATTGCTTGTCAGCATATATTGCTCAAATATGCCGTGTCATGTGGAACACTGAATATGTAATATCGTATGAACATTAAATATGTATTATGATGTAAAAAAAAAAAATAGTGAAGGCGATCACCTGGAAGTTCACTAGATAAGTCTTTATTTGTCAGTAGTCTGAAAACATGAGCTAGTACCCTTAAAAAGAATATGGTGAGAAAATACCATGTATTTATTCTCATGAGGTAATGCAAGTGATTCCATCAAATTTGTGTTTGAGAGAAAGGAGATTTATTGCTTTAAAATACTGTTTTTAGAATAGGTGTTGCACTTTGTTTAGAAAGCAGCTCTGTTGTGTCAGATAGGAAAGATGATGTTTTGAAAAGGCACACTTGACTATTATTTGAGACAAAAATTTGTCTTTGAGTGTACAAACAAACTTGGTGTCTGGTTGATCAGATGTGAGTGATTCACTTAGAGGAGGCTGTATAAGGAAACATCTCTAGCTGCACCTCATTTTTGCCCTAAAGCGAGATTGAGTTTGACCGACAAGGTGGAGAAAACAGCGTTGAATGGGAAGGAGTCATCTTCGGGCACACTGAATGTCTGAAACTCATGGACATAGAAGATACTGAAGTGTAATTATTGGTTGTCAGGTTATAAAACTCAGATGTCAAAAGAATCATCCAAGTCACTAAAGAAAAGCCAATCAATGTAAAATATTTGAATCTTTTTTAAGATAACATGTATGTTTTGCTTTTCAGCTTCTCTTTTGAAAGGACTGAAACATGCTAACATTGTGCTGCTTCATGACATCATTCACACGAAGGAGACTTTGACACTTGTGTTTGAATATGTGGTGAGTAAAGTAAATGTTCTGGATATGGTCCAGAGTGTATTGAATTTGATGGAAAAGCTCTCTTTACCATCAGTAATCGATGGATCAGGCCAAAATAACCCTTTACTTTGTTCAGAACTGTGGAGGCTGTGAGAGATGATGCTTTGTAATGGAGTGGCTTAAAGTGGAAGGCTGGGCTTAGACCAGATTCAGAGATGGAGAAGTGATTACTAGGGCTCTTGAAAGACCTTATATTGTTCAGCTGACTTTTCAAACGGATTCCTTACTCCGCTTCCCACTTAAAGTTTATTAGAGCTTTTTCTTTATTGATGTGATCAGGTAACTTTAAAATAGATGAGGATAATGTAGATAAGAAGCACAGGACTGAAATGCTTAATAGGCAGCTTCTTCATCAAAAGCACGTAACAAGTTCCAACCCTAACCATTCTATGATTCTAAGTTTAAATGGCTTCTGTTGTGACTGGCTTCCGCATAGTGTTTTCTCATAAGCAATGTCAGTAAAAAAAGAAGTCTGGTGCACACAATTTAGAATTTTGATTATTATTTTTTTGCCATGACTAGTGTTTTACCTACTAATTAAAACTTCGATTTTCACAGTACACAGTGTAATGATCTAATTGTGTTCAGAGTATTACTTTCCAAAGTCTTGGGCTTGGCCTCCTAATTAATCTTTTTAGCTTTTCTAAGACAAACATATGGCATTTATGTAGAACTACTTCAGCATGTAGCTGTGGAATTATGCAATTTACTATTATAATTAACCTCTTAGTTTTCACAGATGGGTCCAAGAACATGTAATTTAGAAGAAACAAATGAGTTTAGAGAAGATTAGACTTTCAGTATAGTATCTGTTATTGCGTTGTCGTCAGGAAGACATTGTGTTTATAAAGTACAGTGATTACTAGTTTTACTCTTAGTACATCCCTACTTAAGACAGGTGAAATTGTTTTGTGTGTTTCTTGGGAGCATGCCTTAATTTTTACATGATAGTGCACACAGCATCTTGTCTGGAGAAGCCGTTCACCTTGTCTATTTACACAGAGATGCTACAGTGTAGTAATGTGGGTATTCAGCTACAGGAGACTGCAGTGCGGCTGCATACATTACGTATATTTTTACCTCAGGTATAGGAACATTAACGAAAATTTAATTCCTTTTCTTAAAATTGGTGATTCTTCTCTCCTGGCTTACACATAGAATTAGCATAGGAGAAGCCTTGATATTTAATTTTCTGTAAGAGTCAACGTAGACTTATTTGCATAACTTTACATGAACACATTTTGCAGTCCCTTTTATTAGAGGCTGTATTTAGCTGTATTCATCAGAATTGGTTGAGAAATGAAATATATGGAATATGTTTCTCCCTAATATGTTTTTACCTATTATACTAATGTCAAATTTCTGGATTTTACATCCAGTAGTAGTGCTTACAAACTCTAGCTCTCAGCCATGTGTTGTGTCATGTTGCTGTCCCTAATAAGCACAGCCACAGACTAAACTTCTTGCAGCGACTGGTTCTGGATTCACTTAGCTTAGCTGTTTGTTTTTTCAACGGGATGTTATTGGGATAAACCCTGCTGGTGGTTGCACCTTTTCATTCCCATGGTGTTAGGTAGCTATTAATGGTTTCTATCAACTAATCCAAGTAGAACTGCAGTATTTTGGCTGGTGGGCAGAATCTCTCAAGGTGGTGTTGAGGAAGAAGGGAAAGGATGCTTTGTTCTCTCCGACCAGCCTAAGAACTGTATCATAATGAGAGAGTTGGGGCTGTTCAGCCTGGAGAAGAGAAGGCTCCGGGGTGATCTTATTGCAGCCTTCCAGTACTTAAAGGGGGCCTACAGGAAAGCTGGAGAGGGACTTTTGACAAGGGCATATGCTTTTAGGACAAGGGGCAATGGATTTAAACTGAAAGAGGGTAGATTTAGATTAGATACAAGGAAGGAACTCTTCGATCTGAGGATGGTGAGGCAGTGGAACAGGTTGCCCAGATAAGTTGTGGATGCCCCATCCCTGGCAATGTTCAAGGCCAGGTTGGATGAGGCATTGAGCAACCTGGTGTAGTGGAGGGTTTCCCTGCCCATGGCAGGGGGCTTGGAACTAGATGATCTTTAAGGTCCCTTCCAACCCTAACCATTCTATGATTCTATGATCTTGGGCCTGTGCCTTGAGATAACAGAATGGCTTAACAGAAGTATGTTTTCATTGTTAGGTAAAGTTATAGGCTGATCAAATAACTAATGTTATCTGATAATGCTCACGGCTTGAGAGTGCCCATGTAACCTGAATTGAATTCTTGTGGGTGTGCATGATACAGGTTTTAATAACATGATCGCAATGACCTTTTTTGTTCCATTTTTCAAAGAGCTCTCGTTCAGTTTATAATATGGATCTGCAGAGGCAAAAATTATGGTTGACTGTTATTATTAAAATTATTTAAATCTGCAAATTTTGGCTGGCTGACTATGCAATCTAGCTGTGTAATTGATGTTACTGAGCTCTATCTGTAATGTCTGTTTTGTGGTTGTTGGTTTTTTTTAACACCTGCACATGGTTTAGCTCAATAATATGAGTAATTTGTACTGAAATCAGTAGAAATATTCATGCAATTAAAATTACATAGTAGTGGACATTTTTGAATGACTGATGCCTAACAAACACAAAAGGAGTTGGATTTTATGTACTTCATAAAATAACATCACAGAACTGGTACACTGTTGCCATTAATCACTATTGGCCATTTCAAACATAGTAAAAAACATTTGAGTGAGACGTCATGATTCAATTAGGGATGACCAGTTAGTGATCCAAGAATTCTGAGAAAATGGAAACTTTGGGTCACTAGGTTGGTGGTGATTCCACTGGGAAATTAATACTGATGAAATGTCTGAGGTTATCAGAGGTGTTCGGTTTCAGTGTTGACCCTGAAAGAGTAGAATAAAATTTAATTTTGTGTAGCACCTTTCATTGCAACATGCATTGCAGTAATAAGTTAAAAGCTGAAAGCAGAATGTCCTCTGAAAGGAAACATGGCAGTGATTAAATTCTCTGGGTACCTCAAATAAGAATTTTTTTTTATATGGAAGTCTGTCAGATGAAAACATGACAGAGCTTTTTAACTTTAACCTTGGTGATCACCAGAAGCAAGAAAAGTCAATCTTTAAAAAGCCTGCCTGACAATTAAAGAGCAGGAGAAGTTTATTCTCCCTATGAACATTTTGGTGGTGAATGTGAAGCTGTACATTTCTGTGGAAGAAGAGGTCTTCTCCTTTTCAATGAACTTAATTGAAAATAGTTCAGTATATCCAGTACCTTGTTAGTATTACATAATTTCTTTGTCTGCTTTGCTAACTCTTACATATCAGCTATGATTAATGTTGGTCATCCAAGCATGCCAAAAAGGGACCGGAGAGCTCAGTTTTGTCACTGGATGACTGAGAACCGTTACTTGTTACCTCAGGAGTTTTGCGAATGAGCTGCTTGGTATTACCTCTGCAAAACCTGAGGGGCTGATAGTCTTTCGTGTATGAATGGTAGAGAAAATCGTTTCTGTATGTGTTTCTGTTAACTGGCATGTGCTAAACAAGACCTGAAAACAAAATGTGAGATTTTGACACATTTTGCATATAGTGTCTGAGACGGCAATGACTTCCAAAAGAAAAAGGTCAGTTCAGCTTTACAGCTCAATCAAGGAGTATGACTGTTGACATAAGCTTGGTTCCTCTCCTCCCCAGGCTCTGTTTAGGTGTTAGTTTATGCGACCCTGTGGGTATGCCAGCTGTAGTGCAAGTGTCACTGGTTTAGCCAACTTTGCCCAAGGAAATTATGAATTTTACAGGTGAGATCTCAGACATATTGAGAGATCTTTGAAGATGGGTTCACACCTGTTCATTCTCAAGTTATCATTAGCTGCTACCCTTTGTTTCTTCACTTGTTTATTTAAAAGGAAGATGACTGTATTTAGAAGCACTTAATTGCTGAAAGGCAATCCTAACCAATACATATTACTAGAGGCTTGGTAGAATGATAATGAGGTTTTTACTATTATGCATGATTATGTTAAGTATATTATTATCAGTAAATGAACCAGCAACTTGTCCTATTCCTGGCATTTAAAAGTGAGCTTGTATAGCAATACTTTACATTATGCTTTCAATATTTATGAACTAGATTTGTAAGAAGAACAGATACATTTATAATTGGAAGTATGAGTAATGAATATTCTGCCTCAACTGTGAAAAAGCTCCAGACAAATCTAATAGTGTAATTTAAGCACAAGCATTTTCAATTACCTTGCCTGTTTTATTCTTTGTGTATGTTTTTCCTTCTTAAAAATTACTTTCCATCAAGGAGGAAAGTTTAATTCTCATTGCTTGATTACAGCAGCTAAAAAGATTGTTATGCAATGAGTTGGCTTAATAAAGTTCATTAATTATATTTTCCTCCTGTTTCCTGTAAGAAAAAAAGAAGTGTGAGTTTCTCATTTTAATACTGATTGGAAATTGAGATATATACTGTTTATCAGAATTAAGAGTTACAGAGCTGAAGTTTCAAAACCTGAGGTTTTGAGTTTGTCATGGGACTTCTTAGAAAAGTATTGCGCAAGGAAATGATCAACACTCATTACCTAAAAGGATCAAAAATGTTTGCATTGAAAACTTTTTATTTTTTGTAACTTTTAATGATTTGGATCAAACACTAATATTGATTTTCTGGTTTTATTTATTTTATTAGGGAGCACGTGTTGAAACTAAAGGTAGGATGTCATTGCTCATTTGTGAAAACAAACATAAAAAGCCAAATTATTTGAGCGGATGAGCGAGCAGGGAAATCAGCAGAGTCCCAGAGCTACTTTTCAGCTCTGATCACTGGGATCATTCAGCAGTGCTTAATACCTACAGGAAATTAGGGAAACCGGGCACAAGAAGGAAGGAGGGGCATTACCTTATTTTGATGTGAGAGTGAAATGATGGGCAGTTTTCTTCCCATTCGAGATCAGGGTG